AACAAATCATATTTGGCTATATTTTTCTATAAATAATAAGATTCGTTCAGTTTTATTCAATAAAAACGAAAATAAAAAAAAAGACATGAAATTAAATAAATCTTATAGAGAAATTCCAAAATAATTAAAATTTAATGTTCCTTCTAAACTTATTTGAGTTAGCATGCAAAATTTACAGAAGAATTGGTTGTGGAGTCAGTGAATATCTTCCAAAAAACAAAACAATATACTGTTTATGCATTAAATACTAAATAAAGTCTTAAAATACATATACTATAAAATTATCTAGTAAAAAACTGCAAAATATACTAATAATTATCTTCTCAATGCAAAGGGAAAAGGACTACTTAAGACTAACAAAGAAAATATTGTGTTTGAGTCATGGAGGTATAAACTTTTATTTTTATCATATAAAATTTTAAAGTACACGTGTTTTATATAAATATCTATATTAAATATAATTAAAATAATAAAAACACATATAAATCTCAAATATCGATTTGTTGGAGCTTAAAACCTGATAGCATCTGTCATCAGTCATGACCAAACAAAGAAAAGTCATTTTATATTTTGAAGGCCGATTTTCTTTGATAGCATAGTCGTTTTTTTGACAATATAGAGTGGAAAAAATACTAAAAATATATTTTATCCTGAATCAGAATAAAAAACAACTATAGTATATACAGAAACCGATATACAGAATAGAATTACGCAAGTTTAGCCATTGATTTTAATGATTATAAAAATCTAACAAAAAACTAACGACATCAAACAAATCGAACCTTTCCAATCCCAGAAATATCCCTAAACGAAAAATGAACAAAGAAAACATCTCCTTTTATAAAACATATAGTATAGTATTTTTAAACCATATTAAATCAAGTTCTGACAATATGCTATAAAATATCTAGTAATCGACTAAAAAAATGGAAGACTACTTAATACTGAATTTATAATAAAAAGCAATAGCACATGCAAAAGAGTCTTCTAAATAAAAAGAAACTAAGGAAACACTTTGATTAAAGAACTATAAAAATGTATTTGTTATAGAGAATCAACACATAATTCAAAATGTAAAGTTTTTATGTAAAGTAGTGAAAATACTTATAGAACTAAAATCTCGATAGGTACTTTGTTGGAGCTTAAATCTTGATAGCATCTATCAAAGATAATAGATGCTATCAGGCTATAAGAACAAAGAAATTACTTTCCTTTGTGTTCCTATAACGTCCATAAAGACCGTTTTCACATATAACAGCACAGAGGTTCATAGGTAAAAATTCAGAATATATTGTTTCCTGAATTACAAATAATATGAACCAGTGAACCGGTTTCATGCCCAGTAGCAGCTTGGAAAAACATCATATTTGGGTCAAAATGCAAAGGAAACATGATGCAACAGTGCGGCTGTATTGACGAACAACCGTAACAACATTAAAACAAGAAAAAACAAAGTAAAATACCTGTCAACGAAAGTTCAATAGAAAAGTCCTATGGGTATTTCGTCACTGTCAGAAAATCTACAACATAAAATAGTTATTAATTTTTGTAAACACTGAGTTTGCGTTAATCCAACGGAGACTAATTGTCAGTAGTGGTTTACGAATAAACAAATTTGCCTAATGGTCAAAAAATGCTTAACGTTTCGGAAAGTATATCACTTCCCGTCGTCAGAAGCAAGAAAAAAACAAAAAAATATAGTATTTTTTATTAGTAGGTATTCTTTATTAGCAAAACAACTGTTGACAATTAGTCTCCGTTGGATTAATACAGCAGTGTTTCCAAAAAAATAACTATTTTATTTTGTACATTTTCTCAGTGACGAAATACCCATAGAACTTTTTTGAAAAAGAGATACCTAAATAAAATAAAATATTGTTTTGAAACCATACAAAATATAGTTCTGACAATATGCTATAAAACAACTAATAAAAAACTGGAAGACTACTGAGTTTAAAATGAGAGGAAATAAGAAATCTGAAAAAGAGTCTTCGAAACAAAAAAGAACAAAGAAAACACTTTGATTACAGAATGATAAAATTTTATTTGTTACCTATATAGAATAAAAATATAATTAAAAATATTGAAGTTTTTATGTAAAATAATGTAAATACCTATAATAGAACTTAAATCTCGACAGATACTTTGTTGAAGCTTAAAGCTTGATAGCATCTATCAAAGATAATAGATGCTATCAAGCTTCAAGAACAAAGAAGTTACTTTTCTTTGCGTTCGTATAACGTCCATAAAGACCGTTTTCAAATACATCATAAAGTAAAAATTCAGAATATAATATTGTTTCCTGAATTACAAATAAAATGAACCAGTGAACCGGTTTCAAGCCCAGTAGCAGCTTGAAAAAACATCGTATTTAGGCCAAAATGCAAAGGAAACATGATGCAACAGTGCGGCTATCTTGACGAACTACCGAAACCACCTTAAAACAAAAAAAAAATCAAAGCAAAACGCCTGCCAACGAAAAGTCAATATAATATAGGGAACGACACGATAACTCAAAGCGCTAGCTAGCAAACCGGTTTACCGATTTTTATCACGAATTGCATCATCATTTCAAGCCCTCGTCTAGGAGTTGGATCTCTCTCCGTCTCTCTCTCGCGCGCTAGCTTTTCTTTCGTTTTGTCGAAGCCTTATTACAATTTCGCCTGTATTTTCTAGGGAAAGCTCCGAAACCCTGGAAAAATACACCGCGATGCACGTACGGTTTCCTCTATTTTTCCTCCCCCGGTAAAAATCGTTTTATTGCAGCGAAAAATAAAACAAAATTATACACACATACACAACACCGGCTTATAAAACCATGTCAGAGAAGAACAAAGGATCGTTCGACTAGCGCGCGGCGTTGCCAGATCGGAAACTTATATTTCATTAAAGTTTCGAGTCAAACGTTTTCAGGTTTCCAATTAGTGGTTTCTATAGAATCTTCTTTTTATTAATTTTATATTTTCTCTCCTATTGCATATTAAGTGAGATTTTCGTCCTTAAATAATTTTAGTATTCTGCTTCGTAAAATTGCTCTGTATGGTTCTGAAAATTTAGGTTTATAAAATAACGCATACTATATACGATAAAGTACTCATGAGTCCGCGATTTAATTTGTATATAAATATATATACCTATTTAGATCCATTTTAACCCACACTAAACCAATGAACACTGGACTAAACTAAATAATAAAAGTAAGGTACTCGTACAATTTTTTGTAGAAGTCCAACAAAAAATGTGATATACAAAATACCATGTGAATGTGTTAAATTTTATATTGGTGAAACATCTAGACCCTTAAATGTTCGAATTTAAGAACATAAAGATTATGTAAGAAAGGGCGATTTTCAGGAATCTAAGATTTGCCAGCATTCATGGGACACAGGGCACAGGGCAGATTTTAACAACACAAAAATTATAATGAAAGAAGCGATAGCCTCTAAAAGAAAAATAAAAAAGCCTTTTTAATACAATCTAATAAAAATAAATGTATTGCTCATGCATCTGTAGAGGTTAATAATGTATGGCAAAGGCTTTTTTGATTTTAAAGAACATAACATAAATAAACATAACATAAGTAAAAATTGGATTAAAAACATATTAAAAAATATCTAATCATACAGAAAGTTTGAAGCTTTTTGGTTTTACCTTATTAAGAAATTGTTATCAGGTAGTAATTGTTAATTTTGAAATTTAACTTGATATAATGACATTTTAACAGAACGTCAACGGTTTTTACAGACGTAAAAACTAAAGTGTTCTCTAATAGTTGCAGTTAGATATTTTAATTTTTTTAGTTTTTTTCTTTGTTTTTTGTGTTTTTTTGCTTCCGACGAAGAGATATGCTTCCCGAAACGTTAAGCATTTTTTGTCCGTTAGGCAAATTTGTTTGTTAGTAAACCACTGCTGACAATTAGTCTCAGTTGGGTTAACGCCAGCAGTGTTTACAAAAAATAACTTTTTGAATGTGTAGATTTTCTTACAGTGGCGCTATCCCCTAAGATTTTTTGATAAATTGTTTGTTAGCACTGCTAGAAAACTACTAAAATATTTACATTTTTTAATGTGAGTTTATTAGAGACTAGAGATCTGCACGGGCCGGGTAGCCAGAACGGGCCTCAGGCCAAGCCCGGCCCGAACCCGGGCCTCGGGCCGGGCCGGTTTCGCACTGTCAATAGGGGTCGGGCCTCGGGCCGGGCCGGTTCCGCACTTTAAATAAACACAACTTTGCTTCTGTACATGTCTTTGAGACACCCTGTATTATAATAGGTGTTTTTAGGCTATGTTTATGTGAAATTGATAGATTGTCTGGAATCGACAAAGAACTACTTGGAATAATTGTAATTGAAAGGATTTTTGTAATTTTATTTTGATCATTTTATTTTAATGGTTCGGGCCGGGCCGGACTAGTTTAAGTTTTAACTTTCCACAAACCGGGCCGGGCTTACAAAACCTACTTCTCTTCTCGGGCCGGGTCGGGTCGGGCTACAAAAAACCGGCCCGTGCAGGTCACTATTAGAGACTGAGGCAGTGATTTGCAAGGTAAAAAATTTACTAAATCAGCTAATTGAGCAAATATAAAATCAATGATATTCGGTAGAAATTTTCTTAGTATTCTGGAAATATCAAAAAAAATTTTGAAAGTAAATCACTTCTTTTTGAAACTACGTCCTACCAGTCATTTCCTAGGTACTTATCTAGTTATATAATTAACAAAATGTATTTTTATGGAAGTCATCAATATTTTGATATTTTTGCATTTCCGTCTATTTGTATATTTCTTTTCACGACTTTTATAAAGTAGATTTTGTTTTCTTTGTGCTTGTACCCTTTGAACTATTCAATGGATGAATTCATAAAATCTGACGAAACTATAGAAGATCTGACAACGTAAAATCGTTCGACGGACGCGTACGTGTCCCCGCGACCGATCGTCAGGAATCGCGGTGCGTTCGTACATCTCCGGAACAAAGGAGGGAAGTCCCTATAAAAACCGGCGTCAGCTGTTCGAGCCGGCAGTCAGATCGAGAAATAGCAAGAAAGTAGGAGCTAGCTTAGTACAAGCAAAGCACCTCTGGTATCGAAGCCTAGGCTTCCCCGTTCTCAATTGTGATATTATTTTCTAAGTGTTAGAATTTTAAATTTTATCAAAGAAGAAAAATGGAGGTTCTGCCAGTACAAAACAATCACCCTCACTCGGAATATCAAACACAAAACAGTAAGTTCTTTTTTCATCGGTTTTACTTTCCCTTGGCGACTTTCACTTTAGCTTCCGATATTGCATCATCATTTAATTTTTCAAAACTAACTTGATTCTCGTTTATTCTAGAATGGTATTACGACCCGAGGCCTCATCTCCAGGAACCCTCCAATTCGGCAGCTCATTTCCTCTCGAAGATGCTGGAACAAGAGATCAGGTCAGCGAAGAAAACTCACCTCTCCGCCGGCGAAGTACTTCTACCGAACGGACTTCTGCAAAGGGTCAGCGAAGATGTACTAGCTGCAGCAGAGTCAGAGTGTTGCGGAGTGAGAGGCATGACTCTCCACCTGCTTTACGAAGGTGAGGAGGACTGCCGCAGAATGAGCTGTTTAAAATTGGATCCATCAACACCATCAACCTTCGAAGTCTATCTGACTTTCAAGCAAGCCAACGCCGGATGGGGCTTCTTGCCACAATTTTTAAAGTAAGTACCTGTGCAATTATCTTATTTTTTAATTCGGATTTTTTATTCGTTTTTTTTTCCTGTAACTGTTTAAATGTATAAAAACTTTTTTGGGGTTTGTTCTAAGGGATTTTTTTCTTTGTTACAGGAGAATAACAAGGGGTGGCACTGTAGTCATTAGTACGGACTACGAGATAACGAAAAAGAAGCTGTACCGGCCGGTACATCGCGAGTGAGATGACGCCTAGTCGTCGAAATTCCAGAGACTGATGGAAAATGAAAAAGCATATTACACATAAGTACTGTTTTCTTTTTTCTATTTTTATAGATGTATAAAATATGGAAGAATCATATAAGCGCAGCGTGATCTAGTTTTAGTTTTTCTAATTGTGTGTGAGGGCTGTTTTCGTTTCCGATTTTCCAAAAAAAATTGTTCGAAATCGTGAATATTCACGTTATCACTTCTCAAAGGAAAATGGAAGGAAATGCGTTGGGAAAACAGCCCGTTTATTTAACAGTATTCGACTTTTCCAGAGAGTTTGAAACTCTCCAGAAAAGATGTTCGTACGAGCGATGGTCCACACGGTCCAAAAGGATTCGATTCAACGAGTCCGTGAATTTTTTACGTGATATGAATTTTGTATTAAAATAATGCATATTGATATATAACATGTACCTGTACTTAAGATATATCGTCGTTTTAAATTTATCGATAAAAAAGAATTTAAAGTTTTTTTTTCATTTTCGTGTCATATTTTGAGGGAGAATCTTCATTTTTTTGTTTCGTCATAATAACTTTACTAAAGTATATTTTTTCGTTTATTAAAATTTCTTCATTTTAACCCATTCATTTTTATACGATCTCTCCTCGAACATATGTGTTTTTTAAAAAATATAATTTTTTTCTTGTGATATTTTAGTATGTAGACTACGTAGACGTAAAAATGTATCTGTGAAAAAAGTCGAAAAAAAAAGTATAAAAATGTTTTAACATACATGTTGGTACAAACAAATCGAAAAAATTTCATGTGTGTTAATTAAAAGAAAAAATATAATGCGAGGCTATATTATATATTGTCTATATTTAGAGAGTAAGAGTATTTATAAGTTTTTTATATTTGATGAATTTTGTAGTTTGATAGAATTTATCTATAGCTATGTGTGATATAATCAATAGAAGGGCAGGCTTAGTCCTGCACATTATCTCATGCTTCATAGAATTTATTAAGGACAGTAATAAAAAACATGTTTTTTTACATATGGCTTTCTTTTCCACCACCCCTATAATACTGACCTATACTCCAGTTTAAAACAGTTACTCAGAAACTTGAAACATGTTGAATGAAAATAAATATCAATGTTGATCTGGAAGTAGTTGATAAATATAATTAATGATCACGACTTTAATCTTTGAAATATATTGTTAGATGTTTCCATTGATTGGTGTGTAAGTTTTGAAACTTGGTAAAATTAAGTTGCGATTTTCCAAAAAAAAATGTTCGAAATCGTGAGTATTCACGATATCACTTCTCAAGGGAAAATGGAAAGAAATGCGTTGGGAAAACAGCCCGTTTATTTAACAGTATTCGACTTTTCCAGAGAGTTTGAAACTCTCCAGAAAAGATGTTCGTACGAGCGATGGTCCACACGGTCCAAAAGGATTCGATTCAACGAGTCCGTGAATTTTTTACGTGATATGAATTTTGTATTAAAATAATGCATATTGATATATAACATGTACCTGTACTTAAGATATATCGTCGTTTTAAATTTATCGATAAAAAAGAATTTAAAGTTTTTTTTCATTTTCGTGTCATATTTTTGAGGGGAGAATCTTCATTTTTTTTGTTTCGTCATAATAACTTTACTAAAGTATATTTTTTCGTTTATTAAAATTTCTTCATTTTAACCCATTCATTTTTATACGATCTCTCCTCGAACATATGTGTTTTTTAAAAAATATAATTTTTTTCTTGTGATATTTTAGTATGTAGACTATGTAGACGTAAAAATGTATCTGTGAAAAAAGTCGGAAAAAAAGTATAAAAATGTTTTTAACATACATGTTGGTACAAACAAATCGAAAAAATTTCATGTGTGTTAATTAAAAGAAAAAATATTATAATGCGAGACTATATTATATATTGTCTATATTTAGAGAGTAAGAGTATTTATAAGTTTTTTATATTTGATGAATTTTGTAGTTTGATAGAATTTATCTATAGCTATGTGTGATATAATCAATAGAAGTGCAGGCTTAGTCCTGCACATTATCTCATGCTTCATAGAATTTATTAAGGACAGTAATAAAAAACATGTTTTTTTAAGCATGGCTTTCTTTTTCATCACCCCTATAATACTGACCTATATTTTAGTAACAGATACTCAGAAACATGAAACATGATTGGAAATAAATATCAATGTTGATCTGGAAGTAGTAACGTGATAAATATAATTAATGATCACGAATTTAATCTTAGAAATATATTGTTAGATTTTTTCATTGAATGGTGTGTAAGTTTTGAAACTTGTTAAAATAAAATTGCGGAGGGTCTAAAACATTTCCATAAAAATGTTTACAAGAAATACGAATAGTTTTTATAATAAAATGACCTTGCATTAGCAATGCAATGAGACCAATGTTGATGAGACAGCATTGAGCGACATCAAGCAATGAATGCAGCTTAAAGCTCTGATTTTAAGAATTTCTAAAAAGTCTGTTTGAAATATTGGGTCTATTAACCGGGATTTGGATTATTCAGATCATCGAGAGATTTAGAAAAAAATAGAGCATAGAAAAAAACTGACTACGCCACTGGATTGTGCTTAAAAAAGTGCCTTATGAACGTTTTTACAGAATTTTATTATTCCGCGAAATACAAAAGTTATGGGCAATTTTCAAAATGGTAAAAAATTCAAAAAGGCCCCGTATCTCAGTTGGCAGTGAAAATATCAACAGACGGTATACGCCATTAAACGTGTGTCAAAAATCGAGCACATGACATCTATATCGGTTTTGCTCTATCTAGTCAGGAAATAGGTTTTCTCTGTTAAAACAGACCAATTTCGACCACCCTGTACAGTATGTACCCGGATTGTCTTTACAAGAAGAGAAAATTTTGTTATCGACGTTATGGGAAAAATGCATTCTTCATAAAAATTTACCTTTTAAAAGAAAACATACCGTTTTAAAGAATATTAAGAAAAACTAAAAATATGGTTGAATTTTTTTGAAATTACCAAAAGTCGTTTCTATAGTAATATAACTTCGTTTTGATTCTTTGATAGATCGTTATTCATAGAATTTTAATTAACATAATATTTTTTGTTGCTTTAAAATGTTAAAGATGCACAAAATTTATTTAGTTCAATGCTACGGAAAGAGTGATGCTCGTTATCGGAAAATGTGATACTTTTTACAGCAAAGAATATGACGTTAATCAAAATTAATCTACCAAAGAATGAAATCGAATTGAAATTACCATAGAAACACCTTTTGATTTTTAGGAAAAAATTCAACCATATTTTCATGTTTTTCTTAATTTTCTCTAAAACGGTATGGAAACTTGGAAAAGTGTCAACGGGATTAACCATTTTAAAACAAGCGAAAATTTTTATGAAGAATACATTTTTTTTCAAAATGTCAATAATAAAAATGTTTTTCCTCTTGTAAAGACAATCCGGGGACATACTGTATATTGTATTATAATGTGCCAAAAACACTTATGGGTATTTATATAATAATGATACATATTATATTGATAGTTATGTGTTACATAAGTTCACATTAAAAAAATAACGCCGAAATGTTTTCTACAAATATAGGGCAATCAGAAAATCAAAGAAAAATGCACATCACCATAACCAAAGTTTACAGAATACTGTAAACTTTGCCATAACCATCTATCCCACATAGGTTTTGGACTCTTCTTTTGTTATGAATACTTTATAGCAAATAATTCTCTGCTGGTTGTGTTATTTTTAATTTGGCTTGCCTACGAAGCTCTTAATAAGTAATATGACGTTAGAATATTATTCTGCGATGTCCAAGCCAGTAATGTATCAGCAGCTGTAATTAAACATTCTTAATCAACATCGAGAAATATTCTTCATGTTAATTAAGAATGAACATGAAAAACGGTAAAGAGAAAATATGTTTCTTTCATTGAAATGTACCAGCTATAAAAATATTTGCACTTATTTAAGACTCACCCTGTATATATAAACCTGTCCAAATAATACCTGTAATTACAATATGATAAAAAAAAACGGCCTAAGCCAGGGCTATGAAATGAAGATTGCTGTGATTTTATAAGTATAATTGTATGGGAAATGTAATCGATTGTAATTTCGTCAACTGGACGCCGTTTTTTTCTATCATACGGTATATGTATTATTAAATTTTCCCCAAACTATTAAAATGAAAGGATACCTAAATGTGATATATTTATGTTGTTAGAAAAACGTTTTCTACCCAATACACTTCAAACATACAGGGTCGCTTTTATGTATGGAAACGGTCGATTATTAGGTAAAATATAGGAGGTACCGCAAAAAGTTAAATGCAAAAGTTATAGGATTTTTAAATATCTATTAGCAGGTAATAAATTTAAGTATACAGGGTCGTTCATAAAGTCGTGGCACATCAAGTTTCATTTTTTTTTAAATAGAACCCCCTGTATATTATTACATATTTCAATTCTTCCTTCAATTCTAAGCAAAAATCGAAATACGCACAATGTACCTCAAAGCAACCGTTTTCGAGTTATTGACTTTTGAAAATATCACTTAAACAATTCAATTTAGGTAATTAATTTCGATGTTCTTGGCTTGAATTAATGCCATTCTGCTGAAACTGTGATACTGTTGTAATGAGTTTTTAAATGCCTATTAGCTACTGGTAAATTTAAGTATACAGGGTTGGTCAAAAACTTGTGTCACATCAAACTTTATTTTTTTTAAATGAGACCCGCTGTATATTATTACATATTTCAATTCTTCCTTCAATTTTAAACAATAATCGTAATACACAATGTACATAAATTGAAGAATTGAAATGTTAAACGAAAATTTCTAGACTGATGATGTCAAATATTATTAAGTATTATAAGTATCACAGACATCACAGTTTCGGCAGAATGGCATCGTTAAATCAAATTGTTTAAGTGATATTTTCAAAAGTCAATAACTCGGAAACGGTTGGTATGAGGTACATTGTGTGTATTTCGATTTTTGCTTGGAATTGAAGGAAGAACCGAAATATGCATAATATACAAGGGTATCCATTTAAAAAAAATAAACTTTGATGTGCCACGACTTTATGACCGACCCTGTATACTTAATTTTATTACGCGCTAATAGATATTTATAAACCCTATAACTTATAAACTATATTTAACTTTTTTGCGGTACCTCCTATATTTTACCTAATAATCGACCGTTTCCATACATAAAAGCGACCCTGTATAAAATGTCCTATATGAAAAAAAAATAAATAACGGTAACATTATTTGACAGAGTATGTGATTTTTGGTAATATACGTACTAAAATTAACAAAATTTGCCTTTAAGGAATGTTCCAGGTTAAAAAATAGAAATCTAAAACCTGGTAACATGGACAAAATAAACCGCTGTGGCTATACATTTATATAAATCCATAATTTAGATTTTTTATATATAAATTTATATAGTATACATAGGTATGGTATTATTTCCTCAGCAACAAAATTCAAACGTACCTAAAACGATCGAAACTGACATTAAAAGCTGAAACCTAAATTATACAATCTACACTATCATTAGCGGCCAACTCATGAGAGTACTTTCTAACATGAACAACGATCGGAGAAAAAAACATTCTCATTTAGAGATAATTGCAAAATAAAATCTAATGTTCAAATTTAATCGGTTATATCACGGAAAGAAGTTAAAAATAGAAATACACTATTTTGTCTATTCTGTTATGTTTATAATACAGGGTGGGCCACTGAAAACTTACAATGGCTATAATTTTTAAAACAAAAAAGATATCAAAAAAATTAAAAATACCGTTTCTATAATATCGAGGGGGAATACATATGACGTATTTTTTTAACCACCCCGACCCACCCCTTAGGCGGCACCTCTACTCACTTGAAAATCTTAAATGGCAACACCCCACTTGTGGCGCCTTTTTGGAAAGCCCATGAAAAATGCTAAACGATAATCATAAAGTTTTTAGGGTGAAATTGAAAAACTACCCCTTACACGAAAAATTAGGTGGACATTAATGAAAAAAGTGATTCTTTCAGCATAAGTTACAAATTGGGACCCATCTAAATGAGGCAAATGAAATATTTTTCAAACCACCCCGACCCACCCCTAGGTGCTACACCCTAACTTCTAATTTCAAGATAGCGATACCCCACTTGTGACACTTCTTTGTAAAGCTAATTGAAATTACTAAACGATGGTCATACAGACTTCAATTTAATTACAGGAAAGTAGTGATAAGAAATGTAGGTGTGATAATTTGAAAGAAATTTAAAATGATAATTTATTTTAACAATTGCTCAAAATGACAGCCATTTTGTTCCATACAAAAATTCAAACGATTTTCAAATTCTTCTCTCACTTTTTGGAAAGTCTCTCGCGGAATATTTCGACATGCTTCAGTTATCCTCTGCCGCAATTCTTGCAACGAACCTAGTTGGCTCCATCTTGTTGAAAGTGTATGAGGTCTTCATTAAGAGTTAAATTTCCTTCCAAATCTCTTTGATTTTCAACCTCGTTTACAATGTCTGGCTCTATCAAATTGTTCAGCATTTCCACATAAGCATCACCAGTCAAATTTCTGTCGATGAAAAATGGACCTATAATTTTATCGCCTAGTATTCCGCACCGAGCTTTTGAAGATGTTGGGTGTCTGCGGATTCTCATCGCTCCAGTATCTGCAGTTCTGCCTATTCACATTTTCGTTTAAAAAAAATGAGCACTTATCACTAAAACAAATATTTTTAGTGAGTGAAAGTTCCTTGAGTGAAATTTCCTCCG